CAAGAGTTGTAGCTCGGATAGCGCATCGCCAACGAGTGTAGGGACTGAGGATTCCGTGCAGTGGCGACGACGCGCTCGCCAGATGCGAGCACCTCCTCGAGAAGCGCACGGCCGAGGCCTTGAGAGCAACCGGTGACTGAAAAAAAGTGCGAGATGAGCGTGACGAGACCGCGGAAGCAGCTGGGAAGATACGCACTGAACCAAACGCGGCAGCAACCCATGTCGTCAGATGTGGCACCGGACATTTGGCACAATAGTGCGGGAGATAGGGAAACGTTAGTCGGGCTCGCCAGACTAAATATGCGAGTGAAGCGCGCATTCCCCGTTCGGTCTTTGCGAATCACATCTTCTCACTCACACCGGCGCAATCCGATCGGGAATGACTGGGTCGAGTGGTCCACTCCTTGGGGATACGAATACGTCACAGAAAGCGGGTTTATTTCCAACCCGAGCGCTTGTGGAGTAGATAGAGAGGCATTGAGCACTTCCTTGAGGCCTTGAGGGGCTACCATCGGGCCCCGGATTTAGCAGGTTCTGCTCTCGGGAGCGTTGTCAGATGGCCAGCGTACACTCCGAGAGCGACGAGGACCCAGAACAGGTATAACTTACATCCACGCAGAGTATATTTGTGACGTGAAAGGCACAGAGAACATGTTGAGGAGATGGCACCAATCCCGCAACGGCGTTGAGAGGGAGGGTTCAGTGCGATCAAATTCAACAGGGCGGATGACCCACCGCAACTCCGATCGGAGCGCCACCCGGCCGGCTGGTGTTCGTCCCTGGCGCCTAAATGGCGCCTCTCCTGCCTCCTCCCATGGCCTCCTGGGCGGAGTCCGTGCTGGGTGGGTGCATTTACTACAAAACCGTTCCGGTAACCTTGTTTTATGCGCGGGAGTGGAAAATGCTGATACCATAACGTACAGTTGGAGGGCGATCACGACGGACGATTGGTAAAATCGAAGGGAATCCTCGGAAAGTCATTCACGGTGCGTCATTTTTATACTAACTCGGCCTCCCAAATACTCAAGCAGGAATACAGGAATTACCAAGCGTGCTTTGGCATTAAACGTCATGCATTTTCCGCTAACTATAGGGCTCCGTCCTCGCGTCACGCATGTTGATTTGTGCAGGTGCGTCATCATATAATTTCAACTTTGAATGCGCCTTGACCCTCTGAATCTTGTTGCTAACCTCAGGCTATGTGGCGAGTCACGTCGGTCGTGATTATCCGCGGGTGTGGCTCCGAGGGTGACCATGCGGCATCAAGTTGTCTCTGCGGAGACGGCGTACCAATATCCGTAAGCAGGTTCTCTCCACCAAGTCGAGAAGGTATTTAACTGACTGCGTTCGATAGTAGGGTTACTCAGAACCCATCCTTCGATCGCTCTCTTCGTTATCGCGTATAATCTTCCTTGAGCACATTGGTGTCATTCCCGAGCAGGTTTCCTACGAGCTCCCCAAATTCAATACGTCGTCAAAGAATCTGCCAAGGAGATCAAGGAGATCACCTCGACCTCGCTTTTGTGGATGAAGTGGGCGACTCGACTTAAGCCAGAACAACAACCGGATCCCAATGGGACGGTCTCCAGCACGCAGGCATGCTCTCCACCTACCAAGGCGCCTCCAACCGCGCCTTCAAGGACGGCGTGATAATTCACCCGACTAGTCTAACATCCACTCGGAGTCCATCAAATACGGCATCCACAGTTCGTCTTCTCTCCTCGCGACAGCTGCTTACTCGCACTCCTCGCAGACTGGGCGCAGCACGGCATCTGCGGCAGCGGCGTTCTGCTCGGCGTGGTCAATTTCTACACCGACAGGCTCGGCACGCCCCCGTACGACCGGATGGCCGCGCACGCGATCTTGCTCACGGACCTGCTCGCATCCGCCGAGGCCGAGGGCGTGACGTTCCAGCAGGCGGACATTCTCGTCATCCGCGCAGGGTTCATAGGTCCGTACCAAAGCGCAACGCAGGTGCAGCGCCACGAGTGGGCGACGGCTCTCGAGACCTTGTGCGTGGCTTGAATCCGCTGTCTTTTTCACGACGCAGGTCCAGTGTTGACGAGACGTTGTAGCGCGGGAATCGACCACAGCGAGGACGCGAAACGGTTCCTTTGGGACACGCACTTCGCGGTCATGGCGTCCGGCACGCCGACGACGGGGGTAAGCGTATTCTCTGTCGAGGGATGCTATCAATGTACTCAAACGCCCGTTCGTTTCTGTGTTTAGCACTGGCTTCCGCCGAAAGGCTACGAGGGCATTATGCGCTCGACCCTGATCGCGTGCATAACATCTAATATACATCGCTTGAGGATGACGCTGACCTGTCAAATTTTCAAATGTCTCGGCTTATTTAGTCTGTGGAGAATGTCCATGCCCATCGGCGAGCTGTTCGCCCTCGAGAAAGGCGCTACATGTTGTTCTTCGCGTCCTGGCCGCTCAATGTGTATGGCACTTGTCCCGCATAGACGATACTCATCGACGTCCCCATCTTTTAGCCTCGGCGGGATCGCGGGCTGCGGTACGTCTGGTTTCAATCCGGCCATCCTGTTTCCCTCTGATTTTGTGGTCCTCAGGCGTGCTTATGAAGCGTCAGACCACTAGAGCGCGCAATCAGAATATGAGAGCATGGAGAAAGGAAGACGCGATTCACTTGAATTGGATAATTGTGTCTCTCTCAAACGTTTCGCAACACGGTCTGAAGTTCTTTCCCATCGCGTTCAGTGCCATAGGCCATTTAACCATGGTTTCTACAGCCCGGAACAACAAGATGCATTCTGTATGGGTCGGGACACACGCTCTGGGTTCTCCGGCCCGTCGCGGCGCTTGTTTGGACAGGATGAGTGCAATAAGCGAAACCTTCTTCTCCTTCTCGGGACCCGGGGCTATATATATAACCCTCTTGCTGGACCGCTTTGCTCGCGCTCTCATTCCCGCCCCCCATGGCAAGCCTCTCTCTCGTCCTCGTTCTTCCTGTGGCCTATCTCGTTTTGCGCGTTTTGCGCGCACTCTCCATCAAATCGCCTCTACACAACCTCCCCGGTCCTCCGTCCAAGTCACTTCTATGGGGTACGGTTGGATCATGTGTCTGTATGCTGTGGTCGCGCTCACACTTTACAGGCAATATGGATGTTCTGTTTGGGTACGACAACTGGGACTTCGTCCGCCACTTGTTGGACACGTACGGCCCAGTCGCATCTTTAAACGGATTCTTCGGAGCAAGTTCCTTGACATCTTCATCGTTACCCGGCCTCTGACTCTGTCTGTAGATGAAAGCACTGCACATCCACGACCCAAAGGCCGTCCACTCGATATATATCAAGAACGCCGACAACTTCCCTCGCCCTCCGATGGCTATCGAGTAAGCGTTTGCGTGACCGCGCGCGATCCGGTTGCTAACGGTCCTCTGTAGAAGCAGCAAAGTCCTTCTTGGGCCCGGCCTCCTGTCTACTCTGGGCGGTGCCCATAGGAAGCAGCGCAAGCTTCTAAACCCCGTCTTTTCTATCGCTTACCTTCGCGGGTTAACGCCCGTCTTCTACGAAATCGTCGGACGCGTAAGTCTCCGCGATGCATCGACATGTGTTGCCTCACCAAGGTCATTCCTGACAGCTGGAACACGCTCTTGCGTCGCGCACGCAAGACGGCCCACGCGACCTCGACATGATCGGCTGGATGGGTCGCGCCGCGCTCGAGATCGTTGGACAGGGGGCGCTCGGGTACAGCTTCGACCCTCTGACCGCCGACACGAAGGACGAATTCGCTGAGGCAGTCAAGTCGTTCATGTGAGTTGAGTCAACTCATGAAACGGTGCCGCACTCGGCGCTCACTGTTGCTTATTCGGACAGCCCATCGACGTCGGACGTCACATACGGTTTCGCCATCCTCCCGTACGTCAACGACTACGTCACGCCGTGGATGAAAGATATGTTCTTCAGCTTCTGGCCGGACCCGGCGGTGCATCGTATGAAGCGCATCATCGACTTGGTCGACAACCGAAGCCGCGCGTTGTACGAGGAGAAGAAGGCTGCGGTCAAAACGGGAGATGACGCGGCTCTGCATGGGGTAGGAGAGGGCAAAGACGTGATGAGCATCCTCCGTGAGTGTTTCGACATCATCGCGATTTCGACATACTAAAAGATTCAGTTCGCGAGAACATGGAGGCTACTGAAGAAGACAAGCTTCCTGACATGGAGCTGCTCGCTCAAATGTCGTACGTGGCTCGGACCACGTCAATTTCTGTACAAAGCGCTAACTCATTGCTCAAGTACATTCATCGTTGCTGGGGTAGACACCACGTCCAACGCGATGGGCCGTATCCTCGATCTACTGACGGCCCACCCGAAGGTTCAAGAACGCCTTCGGGACGAGATCCTCGAGGCGCGCGATAGCTTTGGCAAAGAGATCCCGTTCGACGAAGTCATGGCACTGCCGTACCTCGACGCCGTCTGTCGCGAGACGCTTCGCGTGTGAGTGATTCCCATGTCGTTGTTGCTCCTTTCACTAATCACTTTTGCAACGGCTTAGATACTCACCTGCATCGTTCATGATGCGCGAGTGCGTCACCTCTCTCCTCCTCTCCGTCGAGCACAAGCATCTAAAGGAATGTTTCAGTGCTGCGACCGATTTCGTTCTTCCGCTTTCCTCCCCCGTTCGCGGGAAGGACGACACGGAGATCTCTCAACTCGCGGTCCCAAAGGGGACGATGATCATCACTTCCATACATGGTTGCAATACCAACAAAGCTATCTGGGGAGACGACGCGTATGAGTGGAAGCCTGAGCGCTGGCTGGAGCCTCTTCCTGCCGCTGTGGAGGAGACACATCTGCCGGGGATCTACGCAAACCAGTACGTTGCGTGTCTGGCGTTCAGTATACGATGACGTCATCGTCTGACCGCCACTTCCCCGAGGTTCACGTTCTCGGGCGGAGGCTATGCATGCATGTGAGTCTTCATTAATTTGACAAGGGAAAACACAGATGCTGAGAGCTCCGTGCAGTGGCTTCAAGTTCTCCCAGCTCGAGATGAGTACGTTGTACCCAGCTCTGCTCCTGGTATTTACTCACCACGCAATTCTCAGAGATCGTGATCTCGTCTCTAGTTGCGACCTTCAAGTTTGGAAGTCCGATAAGCCGTTTTTCTGGAATCCGCAGGGGTCGCGTACCCGTCTGCGAAGCCGGGGGACAGGAACCCGGAGATGTTCTTGAGGGTTTCTTTGGTGACGAATTCCGAGTAATGAGTACGATACGGATTTATGAGCACGGTCTCTGTCCAAATCGCCCATTTATTTTTTGCTGGTCTCATCACCCAATATCCGTCGACGTAGCATATGGTTCTCCGATAATTCCGCTCCGGAATGACATTGGTACTGATATGCTATTGTAGGGGCTTCAATCTTTCACAGCTCGAGATTAGTACGTTTTTTATTCGAATCGACCGACGATTCACTCACGAAACCTTCTCTCAGCTATGGTGATCTAGCGAAATTCAGAAGTTCTACCAGTTCTTTTGGAACTCGGCCGGGGTGTCGCGAAGCCGGGAGATGAGGACGGCCGGAGATGCTCTTGACTCGCGTCTCACGGTGGGGCTCAAGTGTTGGTGAGTTTGTGATCAACTCGCCTCTTCACTCAAGTGACTCATTCGGCTACATAGCTTGCGTGGCCTCTGCTGTCCTTCTCCAGCTGCGTATTCCTCCAAGAGTCCGACTCCTCGGCCGACACCCAATGAGGGGAGGCGCACTCTGTGGCTGTGCACCTCGCGAGGCCGGTTGACCCGACAAAATCCAGGTTCCCCGATGTATCGGCGATTGGCTTGTCGCAAGGCCGACCAATTCTGTATTGCGTGTGCGATGCCATAACATGCCAGGCTCTCGATATTGGCAAGAACGGCGGTAGGTATATAGCAGCAGCATTATCGTTTCGAAAGACGCAACCGCATCCCCCAAGCATGGAGCGTTCAGTCCAGCCCTACTCACGTCGGCGTCGCCGCGCTCGTCACCTTCGTCGCACTCCGCTTTCTCCGCTCCCGGTCACCGTTGAGCAACATTGACGGCCCGCCGTCTACTTCGTGGGTTCTAGGTACGTGTCGTCCGGACTCGCGAGCGCACGTGCTTGGAATGCTAACTCATCACTGGCAGGGAGCTTAGGATCGTTCTTTTCCCTCGACAACTTGGACTTTGTCCGCCATGTGCAGGAAAGGTACGGCCAGTGGCGCTATTCAATAGCCCCTTGTTGGTGAGCCTCGCGGGTTCCATTTCCTGGTTTCCTGTGTGCTAACGTGGGCATTAGGGCAAAGTGATATTCACGCGCGACCTCAAGGCTCTTCACTCCGTGTACATCAAGGATGCCGAAGTGTGGTCTCGCGGAAAGCTCAACAACGTGTCAGTGTTTCCTCTAGTGATACTGCCGTCGTGCTTCAATATCTTACAGAGCGGGTCAAGCCATTATGGGCCCGGGCCTTCTGACAACACATGGGGACATGCACCGGCGCCAGCGGAAGATGCTGACGCCCGTATTCTCCGCGGCGTACATGCGCAGCGTCACGCCGCTGTTCTACGACATCATCGGAAAAGTGCGTTGTCACTTCTCGCGCCCCTACCTCGAAGCTGACCGCGCCGTTATGAACAGCTCGAAGATGCGATCGGCACGCGCCTGCGCGCGCAGGGAGGATCCGGTGAAGTCGACATGGTCGCCTGGATGGGCCGCGCGGCGCTCGAGCTCGTCGGACAAGGGATCCTCGGCCACAGCTTCGACCCGCTCGTCGCGGACACGAAGGACGAGTTCACCGAGGCTGTCAAGTCCTTCTCGTGCGTCCCCAATCGCGCGTCACGCGTCACACCTCCCTCGCTCACCCGCCCTTCCCCGCAGACCGATGCTCGCGCACATCACGTACGCGTTGGCGATCCTCTCGCTCGTGAGGCACGTTGTGCCCGCGCGGCTCGGAAGCGCGTTCGCGCGGCTCTGGCCAGACCCGCACACGCGGCGGATGAAGTGGCTCTCGGACTTCCTGGACGACCGCTCGCGTGCGCTGTTCGAGGAGAAGCGCGCGCGCCTCGTCAAGGGGGAGGACGCGGAGCTCGCGCACCAGGTCGGGGAGGGGCAGGACGTGATGAGCATTCTGTGTGAGTGCAGCGCGCGCGCGCGAGCGGCGGCCGAACGCTGACGGGCTCTGCACAGTGCGCGAGAACATGCTCGCGAAGGAAGAGGACCGGCTTCCGGACGACCAGATCGTCGCGCAGGTGATGTACGCCTCATGCTCCTCTGTGTGTTGCTTCTGGAGCGCGCTGCTGACCGCGGGCCGTGTTCACGCGTGAAGCACGTTCATCATTGCGGGCGTGGACACGACGTCGAACTCGCTCGCGCGCGTTCTGGACGTGCTATCCAAACATCCGGATGCCCAGAAACGGCTGCGCGAGGAGGTGCTGGAGGCGCGCGAGGCATACGGCAAGGAGATACCGTACGACGACCTGTCGGCGCTGCCGTATCTGGACGCCGTTTGTCGCGAGACGCTCCGTCTGTGCGTATTTTTGCGCTTCCTATTCGCGCGCGAGCGCTGACCCGCTCTTCCAGATTATCGCCGGTTGGGAGCTCCATGCGCGAGTGCGTAAC